CACCTGAAACAACTGCCTGGGAGCTGTTTCTTCCCAGCCCGGCTCAAAGCAGAGTAATATTTGATGGCTACGAGGACATGCTTCTTGCACTTCAAAGTCACTGCGGATAGGGTTTATACTTGTTATTCCACTTAATGTTGCTGACTTTGAAATGATTATGGGGTCTCCTCTGAATGCTTTATGGGGTAACAAAACTCCAGAAGAACAGGACTCTTTCCAGCTGAGTAAATAGAAGATATTTTCATAAATCTTCGGACTACTGGAACATCAACAACATTATCCTACATGGTTATTATGACTTTGTATTTGCAGAGTCATATGTTGAAGCTTAGACCTGTGCTTTCAGCCTTGTCTTCTATTAAGCTAGAAACTTCAAGTAATCCCACAGAGCGTATTTCAGTTAAATAAACTCTCAGAGCCCTACTTGTAGTCGGTGAGGGTGAAGATTACATGGCTTTGATCACCTCCATTTCCTCGACTGGGAATCCCATTCTTTGACAAGGGATTAATGTCAGGGTTTAAAATCTTAACGCACATGGATCATCTTTTTTTCCTGCAGGAGTCCCAGTCCTAGACCTGTAGCACAGAGCACTTGGTGGTTGTGCATGGGAGTGGCAAGAACACCTAGAGCTGTAACTGTTCATGGTAATACTCTTCCTCCCCCAAAACACATTTCAGAGCATAAGCCTACCTCTGCCCCAAACCAGAGCAGAAGAGAGATTAGGCTGGGCTGCTGGTTTGGTATCTGCCTCTCAAGCTTTTGGTGCTGGCTGCTCTCAGAAGTGGGTGATGACTGCTCAGACCTTGTTTGGCAACTTCCATGAACCAAGTAGCATCAAGCAGAAATACGGAGACAGAGTGAGAGAAAGCGCTCCCCACTGAAAAGCTGGAGGAAGCACCCTTTGAATGAGTCTTTCACACCTATGTCTGTAAGAAAAACCTGTGTGATGAGTTGGCCATTCTCTGCTGGCTTTTCTTTCTAGGCTCTGCTCAGGAAGGGTCAGCTCCCTCTCTATGATGCTGGTCACTCAAGTGCCACCTTACTGTCTGACACACATTGGTTTCTCCGTCTCCAAAGCATGGGCATCAGGTAGATTTCATACATTTCCTAAGTAGAAATCACATTCTCAGTGGGAATACAGATGGCCTGTGTGACCTTCAACAAGTCAGAGGTGTTTATCCTCAAGATCCACACCTTGGGCAGCCAAAGCTCAAACTCTATAAGCAAGAAGCAAAACCCTGGCTCCATATGGCACAGACAAGGCAGGAGGGAGCCCATAAAACCAACTGGAAAATGGGAACAGACATTTTCAGTGATTTTGGACATGCCCAATGAAATCAGCTCGGAGGTTCATTCTTGGCTCATTTGCTGCTCCATGCAGAAAGGCTCCCGAGCTCTTGGGCAAGTAACCACCATCAAACCAACGCGCTCTGGCTTTTTCACAGCTGGCCTATGATGTTCTTCTCAGCATGGACTTTCATTTCTGCCCACTGGTTATCTGTTGTTCTTCAAACCCACAGCTGGGGGAAGTGCCTGTGGAGATGGTGTTTTTCTTTCTAAATCAGCAAGATTTTTCTTTTCCTCACAGTTTGCAGAGTTGTCTGTAGCCAAAACTCGCATATCCCTGTTCGATTTGTTTTCCATCTACTCTATTCTTACTCATAAGCTTAAAAAAAATGAATTCAGATAATAAAACCCAAGTATTCTGCCACAGTTCATTAGTTGGGCTGAAACACCTTCCCTTATGTTTGTTTGCCCATGGGAAGAGATGTAAGTCAGAACCTCTGTGATCTTCCCGACTAGGGAATGGAAAGAATAAGAAATATGGAACAGCTTTTCAGCTGATACAAATCAGCCCAGTTCCCTTTCTTTTAGCAGAGCTCTCATTGGGAGCCCTGAATAGCCCCTTGCTTTTAGTAGAGCCCTGAATGGACCCTCACTGGAAAGCTGGGAGGGAATGGAAAGTGAAGAGGAAGACACTGCAAGGTGAGAAAAACAAGGAAATCCTTACATAGATACCCATTTTTAAAAAATAATTATTTATAGTGTGTAGCATAACTGACCAGACAAATCCAGTGGCATTAAGGGAAATAAGATATGATGAAAATGATACAAATTGACAAAATGAGTTTTGTGGCGTAAAGGAGATCTGTAAACCACATCCAGAGTAGACTGGTAAATCTATGCAGTAAACAAACCCAGAGGCAGCATGGTATACACAGACAGGAGGGCCTGAACAAAATTCACAAAATTCAGAGGAATTAAATGCAACAGAGGGGTTTCCAATGACTCCAGTGGACTAAGATTTCATTTTCATTCTGCAGTTCCATCAGAAACATTTTGGTATGCTTGAAGTGACATAGCGAAGCCAGACGCACAGTGTCCAAGCATTAAACCAGGACCCACTTCATGAAATGGTCAAAATAATGCATTAGTGTCACCTGCAATGGTCCTGCACTGGCATTTTAAGATTCTTTTCATGGTAACACTTAAAAAACCAACTGCTAAGGTCACTGAATACACTGAAAATCTTGAAGCAACCCTAACTTTGGTTGGCCATGACAGTAAGCCCCTGGAAAGGCCTCTTATGGTTTTCCTTTCTTTCATAGGCCTAACTGCAATGTGATGTGGTTATCTGGTTGTTTACTGTGCTTAGACTTAACCTTCACCTTCAGGATATTATTTTCTTCCATGTTCTTCTGTACTCGCCCAAAGTTTACCTCAAAATTCTATGTTTGAATGTATTTATCTACCTCTTAGTCCTCCTTTAAGACCCTAGTTTCACATTGATATAAAACAACGGGTCTTGTAATTAGGTTGGATGACTGCAATCCAAAATTTTTCCTAGGCAAAACTCCAATAGAGTTAATTGGCTTCAGTGGGAGACTCGTCCGAGTAGGAAGGGCAAGATTTGGCCTCAGTGAGACCATAAATTCCAGTTTAAAACTCAGTAGTTGTTCAGAGGCTTGCTCCTGTGACAGCATCATTCTTTGTGCTTCCTTTCCTGAATTCCTTTCTTAGTTGTAGCAGGAAAGCTTTCTGGCACCAAAATCAAATGATAATGCCCTGGCCATCTCCCAAAACCCTGTTATGTCTTGTAGAAAGCATCGTTGTCTCCACTGCTCTCAAAGGCAGTGTAAAGCTTCCAAGACATTGGGTTTCTACATTTTGTTGGGAAAGACCAGTTGTTTTCATGTAGGCAATAAACAGGCCCAGATAAGCAACTGTGACCTTGCCAAACTCACCAGTTGCTTTAGATGATGTAATAGGAATTTATACTTCCAATAAACCCACGCGGCAGTATTTAAGGTATTCTCCACAGCTATGTAAGGAAGCACACGCCTGTACAACAGCTACTGAGGGAATTCTGCCCATCCAGCCCCAGCAGCGCTGCTGAACTCCAACCACAGGTTCAGGAGTCCTGTCCCACCACCGTACATTTCCCATCCCTCTCAGAAGCTGTAGGCCGTGCTCTTTTCTTGGTGTAATTCTCTTTGTGAGAATGAAAATGAAATGCAGCCCAGTTCAACAGACTAGATATCTTCACACTATCAGCCTCTGCAGCAAAGTACTCCTACAGTTTCTTCTAATTGCACAGAAAACGTTTCTTTCTTCATATCTGAGATCCTAAACACTTCCCATTCTTTTAAATGTTTCAGCCACTGAATTTTATCTCCCTTTGCCAAGGAAATCTTGAGAAAACAAGTCAGTCATACAGGGCTTCCCGTAGGTCACCAAGTTCCTGTCTGAGCAGCCTTAAGGGAAAAAGAGCCTTTCTGAACCACCAGCTCTGCACTGAGGCTGTTTTAGCAGTGGTCCCCTGGTCTCTATCAAGCTACTGGGTTTCGCTCACCAGATGATCTCAGCTACTGTAGAACTACATGGAGAGCCTCTCACCTCTAAAACTTATGACACAAATCATTTATGACCTTGTGAGCTAATGCATCTGGAAGTGAGACTGGTACCACCCTGTTTAAAAGGCCCCAGCTCTCCTTGGAAAGCCCTGGGACTGAAATCTCAGCTGCACTCTGCACTAGCATTAGAACACGAGTGCAAACTTACAAGAGAGGCACTTTTGGTAAGAGGAGCTGCTAAAACATTCACTGTTCCTCTGCTTCTTACAGCATAAACAACGATATGTGGCCTAAGTCACATACTCACAATCCAAATTGGCTCTAGCTGATGTGATTCCTTGTTTTCAAAAAGCAGAGATGGAAACACAGATCTCAAATCAAATGATTACACAGCACTGATGATGGGACATTCCTCTCTAGTCCCGTGCTCCCCCATTGCCCAGACAGATTCAGTGAACAGACAGGAACCACAAACAGGATTTAGTGGACTCATTCCTGAGAAGACGTCATCCACCGCTGCCATGTGAGACAAGCTCACAAGAAGGGAATGGATGAGATTTATTTTTAATCTTCTGGGCTGCAGATGTGTCAGGAGCAGGGAGTGTTCAGTGGTTTTGAAGACAAATAAGAATTGCAAAAAAACCCTGTGAGAATACCCAATTTTCATTCACTGTCTTCCCTCCCCACTGCACCTCCTGTTCTAACACTGGGCCAAAATTATTGAGATGAAAGACATTTGAAAAACCTGGAACTCAATGGAGAAATGGGGCTGAGTTTTGCTATTTTAACAGTGATTTCCTTGATAGGTAAATTCTAGAACACAATATTTGAACTATCTATCATATACTTCTGCAGTGAAGCCAGCTCTTCACAGGCAAATAATTTCACTTCCTCCATGTTAGCTTCCACTGGCCTCCAGGAAATGAGGTCTAGCTCACAAAAAATAGCCATTCTGATGAGGGTTTAAACTGAAAAGTAAAGACTAAAATGCTAGTCACTGTACACCACTGTCACATTTTTCCCACACTGAGGAACTTTGTTTCCTAATGGAGTTCACACTACCTCCCTGCCACAAAACTTCTGTGAATTAAACTGCTTGGTAACGTGTATTTTGTACCAGATTGAAAAACAACGTTGGAATCAATGGGACACTGAACCATCTGATGCTCTTGAGCTTTTACCTCGTTGAGCACTGTCAGAGCAGAACAGTCGGTGTGTCCAAACGCCGTTCCAAACACTTAGCAATGATTCAGAAATGGGTCATTAACACATTTTGTTATGTTATGCAACTTTCCCCTCCCCTCTAGACTGGGCTTTTTTCCAGGTCCAGTAGCCAACAATAAATCAATCAAAGTCTCTGCTAAGCCTTTTGACTTCAATTCTATCCTGTAGGTTGGGTTAAAAACAGAGCAGAAATCACTGCAGGAGGTGAGGCAGGAGGGGGCTAGTGGTGACTGCTGTTTAGGAGATGTTTGCTTGACCCACAGCTGTTCTTGTTGCCGTTCTTTGTGGGCTCCTCTTCGTTATCTGTAACAGAATCTTCCTCTTCTTCATCACTCCGGTCATCTTTCAAGTCCTGGGGAGAAGAAAGCATCGTGAGCATATTCTATACTTGTAGTATTTGCTGTCAGATAAGTTACTGGATTGCTATTATCAATACAGACCTTTCAAAAAGGCCTACAAGTGGCAGACAACAAAGTAATTTATTTTTGACATGAACTGTGTGTCTGGATCTTTGCAATGATTTTTAAAAAACAGCCAATTAATTTCATTAATCATATGTCCCCATTTGTAATTGCAAAATTAAAAGATGGTGCATAAAAGTTCCAGAACATGAGACATTCTCCTTTCTTGGAAATTCCCCATCATCTGAAGAGGAAAATCCTCTGTCCTTCAATTGCCTCAGCAAAAAAAAAATGTGCTAAAGGAAACAAATGAAAGGGGAGCTACTAATATACTAGACAGTATCAAAACTGTCCCCCAGAAACACTACTGAGCCCAAAATGGAGGCTGACGTCCAAGGAGAGACCAGTTAACACCAGTTAACCAGTTAATCTTGCAGAACCTAATGTTCTTTAGACAAAATTTCTTCCATGACCTTGGCTCAGTCATTCGACCTCTTCTTGCTTGTTTCTACCTTCCCTTGTAACGTCTTATTAGTAATCCCTGGGTGCTGCAGGATTAATTAGCAACTGTGGAGTGCAGGGAAGATAAAGAGAACATTGTATAAAAGCTAAATTTGATTAACACACTCGCCCAAGCACAGGAGTTGAGAGGCTGCCTGCTTCTGACAGGTGTAAAGTAAACAGCGACTGGTTGTGCCAGCATCTCCTGCTGTTAACTTTGCTCAGAGAGACTTACTGACCCCAGAATATCCTTCCCTGCCTGATGCTGTATACATCCCATCAACGCTTGCCAAGGGGAGACCTTGTCTATACAACTATCATATACACCTGGGGTATATCATCCTGCTAGGGGAATTCTTGAAGAGGGCATGACTGCTCCATTAACAGGGATGAAGGGGATCAGCGAGACAGTCTGCGATCACCAAAATCCCTCCCCAGCAATATAGGAACAGCTTCTAACATTGAGCAACCACGCTTCGTCCCCAGACAGTCAAACATGGCATTTGCTAATGAATGTTTCCACCACACAGAGAAAAGGCATTGTATCTACCCAATATTTTACAGCAAACGTCAGGGAGAAGTAAGACAATTCTGCACCTTTTGTCATGACACATAAAATATACCATTAGTCTCTTATTCCCGAACTCCTACCATAGTTATTCCCTCTGCAGCATCTCATGATTTAATAGACTGCCTCTCACCTAAAACCAGAGGTCTTCCCATCACTGAGGATCAAAACCTGGGCCTGCACACTGTGGCTGACAATTTACACATTCCCACCAGGGTATCTGGTTTGTTTAATGGGAACTCCCAACATTTAGCAGCCAGATACTCGGCGGTGTGGATATTCAATAACTGAGGACTGCAGGTCCTCAATTCTGCACATTCCTCCTGCTCCTGGAGCGATGTCCCAAGGTCACAGATGAGGCACAGAACAGAGACACCAGTGTTGTAGTGTAGTGCCCATCCCGTATCTGCTCCCCGAACAAACTAACAACTTCACTTTCTTACCCTGCTGGTCTGAGGTCTTTCTTAAGCACCAAATCCATACGGAGAAAATAAATGACAGCTCAGTAATAACTCATCCAATTGCAATCTCATATCCCTTTATATATTACACTTCTAGTAAAATGTATAGCACTAGAAAAAAATAAAGCCCAAACTCTGTCTCATCAGAAACTATAAACTTCCTGGAGATTTTCTTTTGCCTTTTCCCTAACAACATACAAAGGGTATCAAAACAAACAAATCTCACTGTAAATACTGTAAAGTAAACTTGGCATGCCATCAGTTAGAGAAAAAGAGAGAGCCTTTCCCACACAATTTATGAGGTTCTGCCTCTTTCAGATCACCTCTCTTGCTCCTGGTAGTTTTGCAGCTTGTATCTGCAGTAAAAGACAAATATTGAGGGTGTGGGGGAAGGCTTGCTACTTTGTATGTCACCAGAAATGTTTCAGGGAAAAAAAACCAACAAATTCAACCTAAGTACAGTGCCTGATGCAGACTCTGCTAGAGTCACTGCAGGGACTCGCATCTCCTTGAACAGTCTCTGGCTGAGGCTGAAAACGTGGGGAGTGATGGGGGAGCAGTGCTTTTGTGCTCACTGAGCAGACTTGAGGCAGCGCGTGTCTTGTTTCAGTACCTCACTGCGCTCCAACAAGTTGCTGGTTCTCCAGCGTACACTTTGGAGTAGCGGCAATCCGCTTCACTCTGAACAACGGCCGACACATGGCATCAAATCCTCTTTTCTATAGGCGTGAGCTGGCATTGCCAGCATGGAACTGGAAACTCGGACAGAATTTGCTTCCCAGTTCTGATGCTGTCAAGCTGGATGCTCTGATTAAAGGCACTTACACATAGTAATTAAAAAACAAGTGAATGTCTTTTCCAGCACGTTGGAAATCCTTGCACTTGAGATAATGTCTTACATATTTCAAAG